AGCAACGTTCTTCAGCGCCGAGAACATCTTTTTGCTCTTCGCACTAACTGATCTTGTATGACTGCCTGCTCTAATCCCTTTAGCTCCAGAATCGTATGTCACACCTAAGTATTTAAATTCTTCGACTATACTAATCTGCTTGCCAGACAGTTTTATACTCGGTGGTCTTCCCACATCAAGTTTCCCTTTCAAGAGCATCATCACCGTTTTGTTTGTGATAACTTCATTTTATTTCTCTTGCACCATTTTTCTGCTGCTTCCATTGCTTCTGACCCTTTACTTTCTAGCTCCTTTCTCGATTCTCCACTTATGACGATAACAACGTCATCTGCAAATACCACGAGTTTAAAGCCTAATGCCTTCAGCAATTTTACCAACTCGTCAAAGACAATGTTCCACAAGACTGGACCCAACACTGATCCCTGTGGACATCCTTGGTTTACTTCTCTCTCCACTGAGCCGTGCTTTGTTCTGAACACTACTAACCGATTACTTAGGTAATCTTTCATGATGGAGATAAGTTGCTTTGTTGCCCCAATTTCTTTCAGTGCCTCAATTATAGCGGGCCACCACAGAGTGTTAAACGCATTACTGATGTCAAGAAAGATACCCAATACGTATTTGCCTTCCGCTTGTTTCTGAATTGTTAAGAATTCATGCAGAGCATCCTCAGTAGACCGACCTGGTCTAAATCCGTACTGAGATGTATCCAGCGCTCTTTCTGTTAGCGGCAGAAGTTTTTGTAAGATCAAGCTCTCCATAATTTTCCCAGCAACTGGCAACAAGCATACCGGTCTGTAGGACGACGGATCGGACTTAACTTTGTCCTCTCCTTTGATCAACGTGACCACAATTGATCTTTTCCACTCCTTTGGAAAAATGCCAAATCTCCAACATCCGTTATATAGTTCTAATAGAACTTGCTTATTGAGCTCCCACACTCTCTTCAAGACCACAACCTCGACTCTATCCCATCCCGGCGCTTTACCGGCCTTCATTTTATTTATGGCACTGGTAATGTTCTTTTCAGTAAATCCGCTATCTTCTTCGCTTGCTGTTCCCTCTTCTTCCATTCGCTCTCTTGTTACTCGTTGTTCATCGGAGTCTAACTCCGAGTCGTCAAAACAGAAAAGACCATCCAACAGTCTATCCGCCGATTCTCTCCACTCCATAGCGAAGCTGTCGCCCTTCTTAATTGCGTTTATTGCCGATGTTCCCTTGAGCTTGTTACAGCTAAGCTTATATGCATAGCCCCACGGGTCCCTGCTTGCGTTTGTTATGAACGATCTCCAACTCTCTGTTCGAGTCTTGAAAATCAGCTTTTCGTACTCCCTTCTAGACTTATAATAAGACTTTTTATTTCAGTCAACTCTTCCTCTTTGAGTTTCCGTGCTCTTTGAAATTTTCTTCTTAATTGATGGACTCTCCGCTTGCTATTGGTAAGGTCACTACTCCACCAACGAGCGCAATTCCTCGTTTTCCCTTTTACGGGCATCGACTCCCTGCACGCTTCGATTATTGCACGTCTAACTCCTCTTACTAGAGTTACCACTTCATGTGCACTTTCGCATTTCTTTGTCTCCGGTACTTTACGCCTATATGCCGCATCAAAGACTTCCCATTTCGCCTTTAAAGTTACAACTTCTCGACTGCCAATCGTTCCACCCCAACTATATGTTGGGGGTTATTATAACTTCAAACGTTATTGCGTTGTGGTCGCTCGATGTCCAGTCCTCATGGACTGTCCACTTATCTATCGCCCGTACCGCCGACTCTGACACCAAAGTCACGTCAATGTTCGTCTCACCACCAGGTCTAGAATATGTGTATGGGAAATTGGGCTCATTCATCACGTACAAAGTTTGCCTCCATTATGAACGCCTCTAATGCTTCTCCCTCAGGCGACAGATCTTTCGAATGCCATGCCGGCGAGTGCGCATTGGCATCGATACATATAATTACATTTTTTGCCATGCAGTACACTTGTAATATGCCTCAGTTTTCTAATGAAGGGCTCAATTGGTAAGGAGTACTGAAAATACCCACTTATGAGATATATCACGTTCGCCTCCGTTGTCTATCTGTGCACATGTATATGAGCATCACTTAGGTGTTGGAGATGCATAACTACCAGTTCGGGTCGAATACTACGATTCCTGGCCCTGATAGCTTATATCCCCGTTCGTTTCCTCCAGATAAGCTCTCGCATGTGCTCCAAAACGTTGCTATTTCCCCCTTACAGTGTATGGCTCTTGGATGGCTAGAACCTGAATTTTATATTTGTCCTACCTTGTAGCGGATTTCCGCTACCGGCTTCATCGTCCTCGCAGCGTTGATTTGCGGAGTTTAAGGTAGCTATCCTCCGACTCCGTAGTCAGTTCTCGCAATCAACCTTTCCAGCGCTATTTTATACATAGACATGCTTGTCGTTGACCGAGTGGTCCGCTTTCTTTTTGACCTTTTTACAAGCCGTACAGGTCGGCGGCACATTCCTCTGTTTCTCCGGACAGTTTGTGTGAATATGCTTTGTTTTTTGCACAGTAGGAACAGGTCTGTTCCTCTTCTTTGCAAAACTTCGAGACATGCCCATATAGCTGGCATTTGTAACAACGTGTTACTCCTCTATAGTCCTCGATCTTGCAAGACTGCCACTTTAGGTATAACCTGTTCCTCTCGCTGCTTCTTAGCACATTTCTCAGCCTGGGCGACACCTCTACTACCCAATTTGTACAAGGTCCATCACGTTTCCCATTCTAAACCTCGGAATAAAATTTCTCCTAAAGGACTCAACATCTATTCCGCTTAGCAGCTCTTCGTTTTGCCTTAGAACGTCTTCTTTCTGTTAAGACCTCTGGTTCCAATTCCCTAGGAACATCATAAATGATGACCTTTGGGTTCATCGCTCCGGATCTAGTTGCCACAAAACCTCCAGATCTAAGCCTCTCGTGCCCAACAACCTTTTGCAGATCCTCTTCAGACGCCGTTTCCACCACTACAATCTTTCCATCCGTTCTCTTCCTCCCACTCCCTTTATCTTGATCTTTTCTTTTTCCTGGATCCACCAGCTCCATTATCTCCTTTTTTACCTCATCGATCTCTTTTTTATAGTTCTCGGGGGGCGCGATCACTGCCACATGGGCCATCGTAGTAATCCTCTTATTAATTCCACTTATCGGTGGTACTTTAGAGAGATTACCTCCTTTGCTCACCGCTGCCGAATACGAACCGACTATATCGGTTTCCTTGCTTATCTTACTATTCAGCATAGATATCTGCGCCTCCTTACTATCGATAACGCCCAAGAGATATGCGTTTGCGTGTTAGTAGTTCCAACGTCATCTTGGTCAGATCCGAGACATGGCCCATTATCTCAGTTGTGAGGACTTTAGAGACCCCTTTTCGAGGGGTCGTTCTCACAACATTTCCTAATAGCTTCTTCCACATATTGGATATCTCCAATAGTGCAGTCGCTCTTAGCAATCGAGTCCAACTCCTCGTCCGTAGAACGAATCCATCTCATCGCATGTCCTTTTCGCTATTTTATTTCTATTCCTCCTTCTTCCATCGCCATCACTAGTAAGGGTTGCTCTTGAACCCATATTGTTTGACCCTAGGTGGTCTTCTCCCATCGGCACGTCTGTTTGATTTTTATTATTATCTGCCATTTTCATATTTTATTTTATTTATTTTGTCCACTTGAATGTTTCAGAGTTTTGCCTTTCAAAACTAAATCTCCTCCTTCAATTATTATTATCTCCTTCCTAAGATTACGTAGTACGGGTTCTCCATTTCGTGGCCTCGAAGGATCCCCCTGTTACGGCTCAGCAGCTCCTAGAGTGTTCCACCTTAACACCACCGCCGCAGCCGCCAGGATTTTCGCCGCATGGTCAGGCAGCCAGGTAGGTGTGGTGAATTACCTACCCGGCCTGTATACTGTACGGCAGCCGGGCGTTGCCTCCCGTTTCTCACAAGGTACCCTCTACTCTTTCGTACCCGAACCACAGCTTTCGGAATTTGACCCCAGCATAATTGATAATGTTTGTTTGGCTCTACTCCTACTTCCATGTAGAGGTCAACTATACTCGCTTACCACCAAAAGAATTTTTACAGCCCCAGTATACCACACTCCATCCAAATTTCAGCTTTTCTGATAGGGACATTCTTCCGTTTTTGTTAAAAATAAAAAGGTGCCACCAGTGCACCTTTGCTATCCACCATCACTCCGTGCGCATTGCTTTCAAAAAGTTTTGATAAAAAAGGCACGTCAAAGCGTGCCTTTAGTTCTTCATTCCGTGCGCATTGCTTCCAACAAATTTTTGATAAAAAAGGCACGTCGAAGCGTGCCTTTAGTACTCCATTCCGTGCGCATTGCTTTCCGAAATACTTTAATGAAAAAGGCACGCCGAAGCGTGCCTTTAGTACTCCATTCCGTGCGCATTGCTTTCCGAAAATCCTTTAATGAAAAAGGCACGCCGAAAGCGGTGCCTTAATAGAGTGCCGACTTATCGGCTATTCGTGTTCTCGCCTGTTTAGTGCTCTTCATACCTCTACGTAAAACTTCATGATCACCAGGGCATCTGCGATCAGAAGGCCGCGCTTGAATCTTCAGCCATACTGCTCCTGTCTACACTTAGATCAGACAGAAACAATATGTTACCAGTGGTCGCCACGGGGAGGCAATATCAAGCACTTGAACAAGAGAGGCTAAGTGCCAAGGACCGTCAAGCCCAGCATGTGTTAAACGCATCATTGTTCCTAGGACCACCAGTAGATAGGGACAGCGGGAATCTCGTTAATCCATTCATGCGCGTCACTAATTAGATGACGAGGCATTTGGCTACCTTAAGAGAGTCATAGTTACTCCCGCCGTTTACCCGCGCTTGCTTGAATTTCTTCACGTTGACATTCAGAGCACTGGGCAGAAATCACATTGCGTCAACACCCGCGAGGGCCATCGCAATGCTTTGTTTTAATTAGACAGTCGGATTCCCCTTGTCCGTTGCCAGTTCTGAGCTGAGCGTTGAATGGCGGCCGAAGAGGACGACCCACGACGGCAGAACCATCACGGAAGCCTCGCAGCAAGGAAGATCCGCGGGAGGCCAAGGCACGGGACCGAGCTCGGATCCCGACTCCCGAAAGAGTCATTCACCTCGCCCAGGCCCGGCACGTCAGCCAGACCCGCTTCCCGACCAAGCCCGACACGCCCCGCTCCTCAGAGCCAATCCTTATTCCGAAGTTACGGATCCAGTTTGCCGACTTCCCTTACCTACATTAGTCTATCGACTAGAGGCTCTTTACCTTGGAGACCTGCTGCGGATATGGGTACGAACCGGCGCGACACCTCCACGTGGCCCTCTCCTGGATTTTCAAGGTCCGAGGGGAAGATCCGGACACCGCCGCAACTGCGGTGCTCTTCGCGTTCCAAACCCTATCTCCCTGCTAGAGGTTTCCAGGGAACTCGAACGCTTATACAGAAAAGAAAACTCTTCCCGGATCTCCCGACGGCGTCTCCAGGTCATTTTGGGTTACCCCGACGAACACTCTTGCGAGAGCCCGAATTGTATGCGGTTCCGCTGCCGGGTTCCGGAATAGGAACCGGATTCCCTTTCGCCCGACGGGTGTGTATCAAATTAAATTAAATTTAATATTTATGAATATACACCGTCATTGACATAGGATTTCTCCTAGGGCTTAGGATCGACTGACTCGTGTGCAACGGCTGTTCACACGAAACCCTTCTCCACGTCAGTCCTCCAGGGCCTCGCTGGAGTATTTGCTACTACCACCAAGATCTGCACCGACGGGGCTCCAGGCAGGCTCACGCCCAGACCCTTCTGCGCACACCGCCGCGACCCTCCTACTCGTCAGGGCTTCATATCAAAAATTGGCCCACTTGGCACCTGATCCGAAATCTCATGGCTTCATAATTCAAGCAAGCCAGAGATCTCACCCATTTAAAGTTGAGAATAGGTTGAGGTCGTTTCGGCCCCAAGGCCTCTAATCATTCGCTTTACCAGATGAGACTCACTTAATTTTTTTATTAAGCGAGTGCCAGCTATCCTGAGGAAACTTCGGAGGGAACCAGCTACTAGATGGTTTCGATTAGTCTTTCGCCCCTATAACCCAGTTCCGACGATCGATTTGCACGTCAGAATCGCTACGGACCTCCATCAGGGTTTCCCCTGACTTCGTCCTGACCAGGCATAGTTCACCATCTTTCGGGTCCCAACGTGTACGCTCTGGGTGCGCCTCTACTCGCAATGAGTACGAGACGCCCCGGGAGTGCGGGGATGCATCGTAACGCAACCCATCCTCCCTTAGTCGACACAAAGTCAACCTTCACTTTCATTACGCCTTTAGGTTTTGCGGTCCCAATGACTCGCGCACATGTTAGACTCCTTGGTCCGTGTTTCAAGACGGGTCCTGAAAGTACCCAAAGCAATAGCGTCGCCAACCGGTATTTATTTTGAGCCGGTCAGAGAGCAACACCGACCAACAGCTGAACAGGCTCGGGGACGGCACTAGGTCCGAACCACCAAGAAACACTATTCTCACTTGCAGTGTGCCTGACGCATTCAAAAACAATAAGATGCGACTCAATACCCATTTTCGAATACCGTCGGCAGTCAGTTGGTTTATAACTAGGGGTCTGCCTTATACACACGTTAATGCGACAGACAGGCTACCACCCAGACCGTAAACTGACAACCCAACGGGTTGCGACGTTCTACTAGGGGAGAAGTGCACGCCGACAGCCCAACATATCGCAATAGTTTCGCACGTTTCATAGGCCGAAGCCCTAAACAGTGACGAGAAAACCATACGAAACCCAGTGCCGCGGCTGACGATGAATCTCCCCATTGCGATCTTTGTGGTTTCTCAGGTTTACCCTGAACGGTTTCACGTATCTCTTGAACTCTCTCTTCAAAGTTCTTTTCAACTTTCCTCACGGTAACTTGTTCGCTATCGGTCTCGTGGTTTATATTTAGGTCCTTAGATGGAGTTTACCACCCCATTAGTAGCTGCACTCTCTAAGCAACCCGACTAGCTAAGGAGAGATCCTCCCGAGATGCGTTCCGGGCACTACGGGCCTGGCACACTCTATGGGAAGTGGCCCCATTCAAGGATGGACTTGGACGCGGTAAACACACGGGCCCCCGGATAAATGGATCCTCCAAACACTACATTTCTCAACGGCATAAACCGTGGGATTCATGCTGGGATCTTCCTGTTCGATCGCGCTTACTAAGGAAATCCTTGTTAGTTCTTGCCTCAGTCGTAATAATATGATTAAATCCGCGGGTAGTCTCGCCTCATCTGAGGTCGTCATAAAGAAAATTTTAGGCACCAAAAAAAAATAAACAACAAACATTATTCACTTATTTGTATCAATAAGACAAGCGTTCAAAATAAATCTTGTACGATATATTTTTTTATATGTCATTTATCTGGTGGCATATTGATAATCATCGGTCTGAAGTTAACTTACTCATGACACAATAACAACAACAAAACAGAAAATTTTACATGCACAATATATCACTAAACAAGTGTCTTTATATATGATATCGTTCATTTATCGTCAATAGAAGTTGTTTGGTTATTTCTTTTTCTTTCAAATGTGACTGAAATATATTCAACTTGTTTCAAATGACACCAATATTATATTTTCGAATTTCTAATAGAAAAAGAAATATATATTGATGAACAGTCATTATTTCGCTTGAATATTTTTCTCTCTAAATAGAGAGAAAGATAAGCAGTTTTATATTATGAACGACCTCAGCCAGGCGTGGTCCGGGAATTGTATCCGTGGACCGCAATGTGCGTTCGAAATGTCGTTCCTGTGTCCTGCACGTTCACAATATGACGCGCAATTAGCTGCGTTCTTCATCGACCCACCACGAGCCAAGTGATCCACCGTTCAGGGTGTATCATTTATATAAATTATATAATTTTTTCAGAATTCGATAAGCCGTTTTTGATAGACAATAATATTTCAAAAAAATAAATTTTTGAAAATGTTTGCTTCAAAGCGGTTTGGTGCATTAATGTCATAAGAAATATAAATTTCAAAACACTCAACCACAATGCACGGAGGCTGATACGCTCCGC